AGACAGCCATGCTGGCTGGGGAATTCTGGGAGTTGAAGTCCACACGTCTTCAAGTGGCCAAGCTTGAGAAACACTGGGCTAAACCGATGCAGGAAAGAAAAAAGAAGAAAAAAAGCCTTTTCAAAAATAAGAGACATGGGTTGCTCCTACCAAAGGCAACTACACCTGTCCAGAGACTTTCCTTATCTGCCTTCTTAAAAGGCAAGAGAAGTTGACCTTTAAGTTGACCGTTGATTTTATTTTATTTTTCTAAAGATATCATTCCTTCTCACCCTTTCTGGCCTCAGCTCATCGGGAGCCACATCTCTGCAGCATTGCCGCCCGTCAGTAGCGACTCCCCTCGGCCTCTCCCCTGCTAAGCACCAATCTGATTTTCCTGTAGGCGAGAGGACAAGAATTAATCACTGCAATTCTTATTAAGGGATTTAACAATCTGTATTAAACTTCCTCTGTCCATGCTTCCTTGCAGATTCAGAATTATCACCCTCACTTCTCTCTTATTATGGAACCTCATTTGTTTTCCTTTATTTCAGCAGGCAACCACATGCCACTACGGTTTTACACGATCATATACATTCAATGTCACCAAGAGGTAATTAGATTTTAAGACCCTCGATCGCACACAACGCAGCCACCATTCCAGCTTTATGACAGCACGGAACCACTGTTGTTTGGCTTATGGCTGTTGATTTTGCAATAAGAATAACATCGTTGGCACCCGCTCAGCCCATTACTCAACAGAAAATGCAGTCTGTGAGGTTAGTACCTGGTTGGAAAAAGATTCAGACTCAGTGTTTTGGCATATGAGAGAACAGAGGCCCGGCCCTTCTTTACAGCAGACCCTTCAGGCTTCAGGCTTCCGCACGAAAACAGATGTGGCTGCTTTAATGAGCCACGCTAAAGACACAGTCATTTTAAAGAGGTCTTGTGAACCTGCTCCCATGGGTTCAGAACCACTTCATCTGAACTATCGTCCAACCATGCACAGCCCTGCAGTCTATGACTTTTGTTGGATGGGTGAGAGTGCCTGTTCAAATACTGGCTGAGCTGAAATTATTTTAAGTCGGTTTGAATTACGTTAATTAACTTTAATTAATTAGGAGGAAGAAATCTTCCCTGAATGTTCAGAGCCTGAAGCAGAATGCATGTGGTGGGGGAAGACATGGACATTCATGGAGGGTCAAGAAAAAACAAATGACTTGTGTACAGTAGTATCATCGTGCAAATGCCACCGTGCATGTAATGGTGGCATTTGTGTGATCAGCTCAATGTGTCTGTGTTGTCATTTTGGCATCCTCATGGCTTGCAGAGGATACCGGTGGGAGAGGATGTTAGCAGCTCAGAGTGCTGCTACTATAACTGAAAATATACTTATAAGCCACTGGTTTCCACTTAAAGAAATCATAGTTTTTGCTTCATACCAAAAAAATTGCCAACTGCTGCAGCGTAGTTGCTGGAAGACTCAGCTACACCACTCCAGGGGGAACTGTAATTTCTTGCAGATCCCCCTGAACTATATCTAACCCAGTGTTTCTCAAGCTCGTCCACTTTAAGCTGGCTGGGGAATTCTGGGAGTTGAAGTCCACACACCTTCAAGTTGCCAGGTTTGAGAAACACTGATCTAAACCCTTCTTTCCTGGCATGTGGTGCCAAGCAGCAATAATGGCGTTCTTTAGAGGTACAGAAAATGTTTCATTATTTCAAAACTGGAATGGGTTGTTCTGACTTTGCCAAAAGCGGTCTGGTCTCAGAATGAACCATTTGGATTGCAAAAAGATGGTTGGAATCACCTACTGTATTTCAAGGTCAGACCACTTCTGCTAAAGTTGCAACTGGCATTTTGCATGTTTTGTATAACTCTAGTGTCTCGGCAGGTGGCGTGGCCAACTTTGAGCTTGGAAGCTACACAGGATTGGACCTCGTTTGTATTTAGATGGGAGATCACCAATAACCTTGCAGTAAAAAAAAAAGCCATATCTATCTATCTATCTATCTATCTATCTATCTATCTATCTATCTATCTATCTATCCATCCATCCATCCATCCATCCATCCATCCATCCATCCATCCATCCATCTCTATCATCTATCTATCTATCATCTATCAATCATCTGTCTTTTCAAAATACAGATTACAGAAAACAAATTGACAAAACATATAAATACACTCAATACTACAGCATCAACAAAACCCACACAGTTAAGACCATGGGTGAACTGAAAGAAAAAAATTAATAAAAACCAAAGGAAAGAAAAAAAAGATTTTTAAAAACCCAAACAGATTAAAGAAGAAAAAGAAAAAAATCTACCTTATGTAGTAAACCTATCAATAGATACTAGCAAACACCGCTATGCTATTCCTGCATCTGGAGTACAAATCATCTTTTTTACCTGGTACCTTTAAAACGTCTCAGCAGCTGGCAGTATCTGGCTGACCTAGCCTGCATTCTGAAGCTTAGCAAGTCAGGGGTGTCCACAAGGTGTGGTCAAAAAAGTCAACATGGCAGCCACAGCAGTGAGATTGAATCTCCACCTGTTTTGGTTTTTGTTTTTAATGGGTGATACACATAAAAACCAGGATGAGTTTCAGTTGCACCACTTCAGCTGCCATCTTGATTTTTTTTTTTTTATCATGCCCTGTGGACACCCCTGAAGCAGGGTGAGATCTGGATAGGAGACCTCAAGGAAAGCCAAGGATGGTAGGTTAGACTAAGAAATTGAAAAGAACTTCCTGGATGAAATCAGTGACAAGCCACTTCTACCATTTGAAATTGTGCGCCGCCCTGAGTCACTTGGATTGAAATGGGCACGCCCATGAAGTCACAGAAGTTGAGTTCAATTCAAAGACATCTTTATTTTTAAAAGCGTTCAGTGCAGTCTGGCAAAACGAATGTGGGAATGCTGACTCGCAGCTCAGTTGTGTTTATTGTCATTACAAGTTTTACAAATACATTTAATTGTCCCTGGAGTGTTTCCCAGAAAATAAAGGGGCAATTTAAATAGAAGATGAGCACAATATTCATAATGCATAGTAAAAATTAGAGTGTAACCAATAAAACACTGATAGCTCAACAAGGAAAGTTCTTCCAAAGTGTATCAGCTCAGGGGCACCCGCGGGGGAGTCAAAAAAGTCAAAATGTCAATCCTTCATCAAAGCCCTGCTCCTTTTTTGATATGCTTTGCAATGGGGCAGGGCTTCCCTTGTGACTTGAAGATGACTCTTTTAAACCCCTCCCATGGATACCCCTGTATCAACTATTTCTCTAATCATGTCAGTTAATGATGCATCTTATCAATATTGTCAGCCTTCCATTCAACAACTCAGATTCAGAAATCCTAGCAAAAAGTATTTAGCCCCGATCAAGCTAGCAACTATTAGAACCAATAGAGTTGAACGACCTTCAATGGGGAACCTCAGATTAAGCTATACATGTAATCTCCCAATGTACCAGCCAGTTAGCCAACTAAAAATCATATCTGGTTGCACATAAAATCCTATCTTTCATGGGGGTACATGCTATAATCTCTTAATTACATTTAACAGTTAGGAGCCACTTTCTAAGGACAATTCAGGGATCCAAGATGGTCCTCACTATAGAGTTTCTATGCCAGCTCTGCTTTCATTGTCTACATATGGTCTCTCTATCCAAATGATGCATCTGAGTCTTCATAGTATGTGGGTGTGGGTGTATATATACACATTCTTGCCTTTCTTGAACACATCCAGGGAATGGGATCCCATCCTTTCTTTGGGTGATTGGTTCTAGTGTTGAACTACTCTTACTGAAGTTTTTTTTTTTTTAATTGGAATCGACTTTCCTGTAACTTGAATCCATTATTCCATGTCCTGCACTCTAAAACAAGGGAAAACTGGTTCTGATCTTCCAATTTATGCAACTGAACTACCATAACTGAACAACTCCTAACAGCAGCATAGTCAAACGAAGCCAAACAATACACCTACAATAAAATATACCGTTTTCCCCTCCAGCCTGTTGCCCTCCAGATTTGCAGTATTTTGGGAGTTGGACATACAATATTTCAAGAAAGCATCAGATTGGATCTAACTAACTAACTAGATCTAGTATCTCAGGAAAATGCCCACTTCTCACTGTGGTATCAGTGATAATCTCAAAACATCTAAGTCTCACGATCACAAAGCTGTTGAGAAGTTCACCTTCCAGCAAAACTACTTCTGAAGTCCAAAAGACTTGCAAAAACACGGGTAAGCAATATTTTGAGAATACAGCTGTTTTCTTGTTCATTCGGGCGGTGGGATTCAGAATCCAGCAAAAGATAATAGGTTTGGGCAAAACTAGATTGGGTCGCTGAACCATCCACTGGAAAAACCAGTGAGAAGTTTCAGATATCCTCATTCTTCATGGAATCAAAGTTCTTCTGCCCCATTGCTTTATGGAAAGGATTTCTGACTCCTTTGTAGTTTGTAGCAATTCTAGAGACTCCCTTCGGTGCTATCCTTCTAACAAGACCCATCCTGGCATATTTTTTTAACTTTAAGTGCTATGTCTGTTATCTGTTATCTACCCTGGAGAATCTTTTCCAGGAGTCCTAATCAAATGACACTAAAGAAATAAGGAGGGAGAGATTAGGTGAACTTAGATGACCTCTATACTAGCCAATTTGACACATGGGGGGGGTTTTCCCCCTGGTTTTTCAAACCTTGTAGTAGCATACAGTTCTCCAAATACAACTTTTCAATAACTCAGGTATATTTTATTCTGCACTCTAAACTGGGATGTTGCCTATCTAACAGATGATTATATTATTTTATTCTCCCAAATCTTCTTAATATTGCAATTTTAAAACTAAATGTTTCTGCTTGCTAACCTCTGCTGCAATTTAATTTGGTAACTGGTTTAATTGTTCTGATGTTATATTATGTTTTGTTACCTTTATACATTTTATCATTTTCACTTTTTATTTTATGAACTGTCCCAGGTTTTGCTATTGAATTGCAAAGATACACGGTAATTAAGGAAGTTGAATTTATATAAATCATTCTATTTTACATGATTTTTTCCTATCTCCATCCCTGTATTCAGCTCACGTCTTAAATTTGGACATACCTATTCAATTCAAAAAGTGAAATGGAATTATACTTCAACATTCCAAATTTGGCAACCCTTTTCCAGTGGAAAAGGTGCATTTTAGGGCAAAACACATAAAAAATAAACATGTTATACAAAATATGTACAGAAACAAATTATTAGGAAAAGCTGTGTGCAAAAACAAAATCAATAGAAGTATATATAAAATGCATATAATAAGAGAAAAACATTAAAAGTAGGTATGCATTTTTGTGAATACTTCTTTTTAAAATGTGATTGGATCCAGAAATGGGACATCCTGTTTTACAGTATTGAGGACTGGAAATGTATTTTTCAGGAGATCCATATGATTGAGCTGTAAATCCTACTGAGTTCAATAATACTTATGCCCAAGCAAATGTCGATGAGCATTTTTACTCTATACATTGTAAGGAAGACTGGTGTTTACCCATCAGTTTGGCATTAAACTCCTTCCTTCCTTCCTTCCTTCCTCCTTCCACCTTCCTCCTTCCTCCCTTCCTTCCTTCCTTCTCCCTCTGGCTCCCTCCTTCCTTCCCTATTTATTTATTTATTTATATTTCAAATTTAGATACCACCCATCTCACAAAAAGTGACTCTACCTTCCTTCTTCCTCCCTCCCTCCCTTCCTTCCCTCCTTCTTCCCTCCCTCTCCTAGTTCTCATTTTCTGCTCCAGCCCCAAAGGACTCTGAGTAGATTATGTTCCTCTCTTTCATTAAGCAGACTACAGGTGGTCTTCAAGAGCAGCCCTCTGTAGAGCAACTTGCAATAATCCGGAGGGAGGTGAAGGCAGGAATGACAATCTGGGGATTCCTGGCCCAGGACTGTTGTACCTTGTACACCAGATGCACCAGTGCAAAGGCACCCTTGGCCACAGCTGTCACCTGCTCTTTGTGGGTTACCTTCCATTTTGGCTCGCACGAAGTGGCCTCATAACGGTGGGGTAGGCAGCACATTCTGTCTTTTTTTAAATAATTCTTCAAAACGGGAAACATGGCATGCCAATCAAACTTGGAGCCACTGCAGACAGAGTTGGGAAAGGCTGAGTTCTCCCTGCCCTCCTGTGACCCTGAGGTGCAAAAAGAAAGCAGTAGAGATACGGAAACATCAGAAAAGAAATTTATTACACATCCTCTGCTTATTATGGACCATGTACTAAACCATGATTATGGTGAATGTTACTGTCACACCAGGGTTCCCATTGTGGTTAAGGCCTTCCTCCTGAATCTCAACTTAAACCATGGGTTAGGTTGGGATGTTATACTGGGCCTAAGCATAAGATGACTTAGTCAGACCTTCTCAGCCTGTTGCTCTGCAGTTGAGGGGGCCTTGCAGCTCCCAGAATCCCTAAAGAACAAACGGAATGTACACAGAATTGCAGCTTTATTAGCTTAATAATGTTTTCTTAAACATTCTGCACCAATAGTACATGCCCTGCCTATATGGAAGGCATTCATATATCGTATCTTTGCATGGGTACAACCCAGAGCCCTTCTTTCACTTTGGCCTTAGTCTTCCTGCAAATATACCAGGGACAACAACTGCTGTGGGTGAAAACACTGCCAAGATCTATCTCAGGATTACTAAGAAATCCCGGTCCATTGGCCGTGCCCCGATGGACCTGGGTTTCTTCCCATGCAGATCTCAGCACAGTATCCACAGTATCCTATTTTTATCTTTGATCTGAGAAACCCTCCAAAATGATGGAGCCTTGATACAGAACTACAGAGCAATTCCTATGGCACAACACGGAGCAGAAGCATTATTAACCCTGATCAGGCCCGCCATGATTTATGCTGTCTCTGCAATTTTGCATCTCATTTTCTGCCTTCCTGTGATGACAATTATTAAGGTGCTGTGGAATTACCATATGAATTGTGCTCCCTACATCAGTGCAGTTCCGTCCCACCCATACCTGGCCATAAAGCTTTATTACACTTTGCACTAGGCAGGCTTAGCTCAATGGGGTGGGGGGACACTATGATCCTGGAGCACATGAGAACCCTTGGCAGGGCTTTGCAACTATTCTCGATACTTCTTCTCCCTTCAGAAGACCAGAGGTGCCCATTTTTGGTGAAGTTTTTCCGCAACAGACACCATAGTAGCTGAACAGTTAAGGAGAATGGGGTACTGTGCCAGCTGATATGGAAGTTCTGTGGAAGGGTAGCAAGAGATCAGTTGTTCATTATGATGGAGAATTATCACTTGTGGTAGCTTTATTACAACTTTAGATAGCAAAACATCTTGGTCCTGTTCTCACCTTATCAGCTGGGCATGAAAAGCACTGCATTTTTAACTAGCGCTAGGGCAATTCCACCTAGCAGCCTACATTGGATTTCTCTAGTGGGGCTCCCAACTGTTTCTGAAGCCAACATAACAAATTCCAGCCTAGATTGGAATGGTTTGGCAGGAATTGATGCTCAGTCCAGAGCATTTGCAGGCTCTGATTGGTTGTTCCCCTGCTTCTACTTCTCTCCATCCTCAACAGATAGTCACTGTGTGAGTGTCTCTTAGGGACTGTTCCTTCCTCACTAGTCCCCACCGTTCTCCTTTGCTTTCCCAGACGTTTGCATACATGGATGCCTTCAGAGCTGTTCCCATGTACTCGCTTCTGACACTAATGCAGACCCTGTCTTTCTCTCCCTCCTTTTGTACCATCCTTGCTTTAGTGTTTCAATGTTTAAAGCAAAGGGAACAGGTGGATCCTTCCTTACTGCATTCCACTGTGGCTCCACAGAAACTTTGTGGCAACAAAGAATTGGTGATTCACCAATAGCATTTGTTGAAAAGCTGTAGTTTTGTTCCAATGTGCAACTTAAAGATAAAAAACAGGGAAGGGAAGGGAAGGGAAGGGAAGGGAAGGGAAGGGAAGGGAAGGGAAGGGAAGGGAGGGGAAGGGAAGGGAAGGGAAGGGAAGGGAGGGGAAGGGAAGGGAAGGGAAGGGAAGGGAGGGGAAGGGAAGGGAAGGGAAGGGAAGGGAGGGGAAGGGAAGGGAAGGGAAGGGAAGGGAGGGGAAGGGAAGGGAAGGGAAGGGAAGGGAGGGGAAGGGAAGGGAAGGGAAGGGAAGGGAGGGGAAGGGAAGGGAAGGGAAGGGAAGGGAGGGGAAGGGAAGGGAAGGGAAGGGAAGGGAAGGGAAGGGAAGGGAAGGGAAGGGAAGAGTTACAGTACAATAGTGAGAAAGAAAAGTTCATATGCTTCTCTCAGCTTGTGTAGAAATCCACTAGTACCTACTGGAAGATGTAAACAGAGGTGTCCTGGAAGCAGAGAGGAGGGAAACATGACAGCCAAGAGACTTTACTGGATACCATAGTCTTTATGGTCCATTGCTGGATCAACTGGAAGAAAAACAAGAAAAAGAAGTTGCTATACAGGGCAGTGACCACCACTGGAGGAGAAGTGGCATGCCAGCTGGTACTGTTGCCAATTGAAGCTGAAATGTCACTCGACAGGAATGAGGAGCAGGAGGCCAATCACTTGGAAGGGCTTAAGATTATTCAAAATGGAAAACAGTACATTTGAAGAGGAGCTTTATAACATTGACAGGGGCTTCAGTTGAGGTAGGCTGAGCATGAATGGAGGAGGGTGTTATCTATCCTTACACTCAGGAAATGGTGGGTGACCCATGCTGTCAACAAAGTGAGCAGAAAGTTTCGGTTTGGCCTTAGAAAGATACATTCTTCCAGTGAATTACAACCAATTCTCCTTCAATTTGGTAGGAAAAAAATGGTTTTTGATTTTTTTTTCCTAAGAGAAGAGTTTCAGAATTTCTACAGGCAGAGGTGGGGGCTCTTGTCCTTATTAATAATAAGGTGGTCAAGAGATGTGTGAATCTCCTGTCTTCAGCCATCTCTCCATCGGATTCAAGCATTCCTGGGCTTCTCACATTCCACTAAATCCCAAGAAGACAACATGGCAAAATATCTTTCCAAGGAGTTTTTTTCAGTAATGGCGCTATTGCCATCACTAGGGAGTCTTACTCTCGAGAAACGATAGAAGAATTTCACTTCCCATAGAGAAATTCAGTGAAACTGTTCCCCTAAATCTTCTGTCCAGAGTTTGGTGCACTATGATCCTGGGGCAAAGGAGAAGAATTGCAATATAAACTTTGTGTTTCTGAATTTAGTCGATGGGGAGAGGTTGTAAGCTGAACTGGAAGCTTTAGGCTCGACTACTTTTTCATGTAGTCCAGTGATGCTATACCAGATCGGCAGCAGTTTGCCAAGATTTCGGACAAAGCCATCTTTCGTTTTCGCTTCCCAAATGATTCTTAAGTTTGGAAATGCGAAACACTGAACCTGAGATTTTCTACATTACTATTGAGCTCCTGATCTGAATGGCAAAAAATTGAACAAGTGTAGATGGCACAGAAAACATGAACTCATTCCTGCCATTTATTGGTTGTTTAGATTTCTATAACCCAGATCAAGTAGGTCGAGCACAGCATGGACTCGGCTACAGAGTTCCAATCTGTCCCCATCCCCATGTCATGATGAGATGTCAGCCCTTTTGCCTTAAACTGAAGAGCAATTAAATTGCTGAAAATACACCATATCGTACCAAGTCAGGCAATTAAAATAAGTACCCAGTGCATTGTTCATGGCAGGACGCTTTCATGCAATCTTGCTTAATCTTGCATTAGTGGCTCTTTCTGCTGGTTTACCGATGTTTCATTTTGATTTTACAAGGAAGTTACCCATATAAGGGGCCATGTCTGCATTAGGCTGCACTGCTCCTCATCAGTGGGTATCTGTGTAAATCAGCCAAGGTATTCCTAGCAGCTACTAGTGGGTCTAATGATATTATTTCACAAAAATAAAAATGGTTGGCAATTGTTAGTGGTGCGATTGCAGAAAGAGAACGGCGTTAATGTGCTATAAGAAGGTAACAGCGCATTCCAATCAATCGTGCTCTTTAAGCCAACTAGTTATTGTCTATATTACTCATAAAATATACCTCTCTGGAAAACCCATCCAGATGAAATAAGCCATCAATCTTGATACATTACTACTCATTTTCCATAAGCGGAGAGAGCAGATATCTTCCTGAGGTTTGCCGTTTGCTCAAACTGTATTAAAATACATAGTCAGATGTTACAACTTATGGAGCTCTTCTGTTCATAAATTGTTGCCACTGATTAGGACATAAAACATATTTTATAATGCCATAAAGCCCCCAGAAGAGACAAGATTACTCAGATTTGCCTTTATAGCTCAATATGTACAGATTTCTTGAAGCAAAAACCTTGTGTATTTTACGCCTATTGCTGGAGGAGGAGGTGGAGGAGGAGGAGGAGGAAGATGATTCACGGAAGCATCAGGCATTTCAATAAAACATTATGACTGTATTGCTTGTTGAGTGAGGCTTCGTTGCCACATCCGATTCTGAACCCTTAAATTGTCGGTTCTAAACATATTAATTTCCCTTATAAATCAGCTCTGTCTGGGAGAAACTGGTGCTCATATTCTTTGAAACTTTGGTCAAAAAGCAATCAAGGAATATCAGTTTTGGACCAATATTGTTTGTAATATTTTGCAGTGTTGCAAGTCTTGTTGCAATGCTTCAGCAATGATCTTTAAAACTCACACCCATAGCATTTCAAACAAGCACTGGGATTTAACACATCATCCACCACTGAAATGGCCATCATGGGGACTAAACAAAACATGTGCACTTATTAACCAAGTTAGCTGAAACATATTGTGCAAACATAGCCACTGTGGGCATCAAACCTTAGCTTCTTCTGGGACCAACTACACAGACAACCCTTCAACCTCCCTCTGTTTGCTATGCATACCCATTGGGCCATGAATCAGATGGAAATATTGGATTGTAAACCATCCTGAGGTTTCTAAAACTTCAAGAGAAAGGAGTTTTTTTAACTGAATCCATCAATCAAAAGCCAGCTGTGGGATTGCCTAAATCCTATGGTTTCTAAACTCAAGAATTGGCTTCCCAGCAGCATTAAGTCTATTAATAGTCATAGCTCAGTCTGGTGGATGACTCCTCTGTAACATCCACAAGCATCTACTTAGGCAAATAACTCGTGTAATCCAATGTTTTGTTGGGTCATCTTATTTGCTGTTTTTTATACCTACAATTTAAGGGTTCAGCTATTGAATTCTATTGCTAGTGCCACTGAAGATAATGACTTCAATTTGCATTCCTGAATGAACTACAAAGGCTTTTTAGCTAGACATTTCACTTTCATTTAACTTTAATGATTAGACACATAGAATAATAGATAACTGGAAGCAAGCAACTTGTGCTTTATTTAGCATGGCAATTCCAAAAATCATTACTTTTTTTAAAAATCCTTTTTTCTCCAAGTTCTAAGCAGGGAAACATAGAAAGCATGGAAGATGTCAAGCTTGGTGCTTCTGAAATGCATTACCTAACATTTACCTGCTAAGATGGCCAGATCTCAAAATAAAATCCACTGAAGCTCTGTTTTGGGCCAAAGTCTAAGCTTTGGTGGCATCTAGGTAGTGTTCTGGACAGAACACAAAAGAGAGAAAGCCCCATTTTTGGATGCAAATGATGCTACAGGTAGATTAACTTCAATATGTTGGCTTTTTAAACTGCAACAAGAAGGGTTGGGAAGTGCTTGGAGACATTTCTCTTCCATAAATAATGAGGATTGGTAACCCCTCAAAAAGGTGAATGTATCTTGGCTCTTTGAGAAACAGCCCAAACCTCCAGCAGCATTCAAGTTCTAATGAAGGTGTTCACTCTCAAATACTGATTTGTTATGTTTCCTTTATAGAGTTCTACATCTTTATGAAGGAAGTTTTGGGTGGGCTTTCATCTTTGAGTCCTACATTTTAACCTCTAGTTCTTTTATAGAGGACTCGCTTTGGTCACTCTTGAGAGGTGTGTCATGGCTCTGGTATTCATTTTCAGCTCTTTTTCCACAACATTATGGGCAAACATAGAACAGTGCCATCACAGTTTTTTTACTTGCCTCCTGTAGGTCAATAAAGCCTCCTTAGTTCCATCAATGTTTCCCTAGAATGCTGTTAATGAATTAAGTTGCAGAAGCCATGTCAATGGGTCTATGAAGTCTACTTTGAAAAGAAGACTTCTTGTGAAATTAACAACCTGTCCCTCATTAACCAAAGCCAGAGGAGGAAGGCAATGGAGAAAATGGTAGCGGGAATTGCTTTCTTTGTGTCCGATGTCTTTCTTACAGCACATCATCTGGGTAAGCAAACTTTTGATGCAGATTCTTCCTTTCCCAGGTCAGGTAGCCCCACATTTTCTCTAACTGAGAAGAAATCAGTACTGCTTGTGTTTTATTTAAAATGACTTATATTGTTTGTATGGCTTCCTTTGTATGGCTGACCAAGCCCATCCCAATACATCCTCAGGCTTGTTAGCAAGTAGACTTTTAAAATAAATCAGATGTTCAGGCATTTTTAAGCCTTTCCAAGTTTCTGTTGATTTATAATGACCCCATAATTCTACATTTAAGTCTGTTGCTCAGGGCAGAATTCCTAGTTCCAGCATTACAACGTTGTTATAGTAGTTTTTATATGGCTTGTCAAGGTCTTTCAGACTGGGTTTGCATAACACACAAAGCTACATTAAACTTGGATAGGTTGTCAGGACTTGATGGGAACCCAAAGATTGTTTTATTGAGGTACATGAAGCAAACTATAGCACATTAAATTATAATATGCTTTATTTGGTTGGCGATACAGTGTGATATGAATATAATAACTGTGTTTGACCATCAGGATTTAGATTTACTGTTTGTTTGTTTGTTTGTTTGTTTGTTTAGATGTAGAGGCCACCTGACTCCAGGCAACTGTGGGCAGCTCACAATTAAAATTGGGCAGGGGGAGGGTGGAGCCACCAAGGAGAAAATAGAACCATGCACATCTAGGAAGCATACGATATAACAAAAACACCCCTGTTATGTGAACGCAGCTGAAATGTGTGATGGTTAAGATAGTATATTAGGATGGGGATCCAAGTTCAAGTTCATTTTCAGCCATGTGGAAGCTCACTAGCTAAATCAGTAACTCAACTGAACCTACCACAAAAGATCCTTGTTGTAGGGAAAATGAAATTGAAGTGCTATGTAGACTGCCTAGAGTAGTGTTTCTCAACCTAGAGTAGTGTTTCTCAGCCTAGACCACTTTAAGATGGTCCTAGAGTAGTATTTCTAAAGTAGCTCCTAGAGTAGTGTTTCTCAACCTTGACTGCTTTAAGATGTGTGGACTTCAATTCCCAGAATTCCCCAGCTAGCCATCGGTCCTAGAGGAAAAATAAGGAATAAAGCATCTCTTAAAACAAGCTTGACTCCTGGTGACTTCATGGATGCATCCATGTGATTTTTTTGACATCATTGGCTGGCCATTGCCTTCTTTCATCTAGCCTCATCTAGCCTCCATCCTGAGGGTTTCCTGATGATCTCTCATCTAAACACTAATCAAATATGACCCAGCTTAGCTTCTTTGGGATCAGCCAAGATCAGCTAGGTGCTACCACTGGATGAAAAGGAGAATATCAATCTAACCCAGTGTTTCTCAACCTTGGCAACTTGAAGATGTGTGGACTTCAACTCCTAGAATTCCCCAGCCAGCCTTTCTGGCTGGGGAAATTCTGGGGTTGGAGTCCACACATCTTCAAGTTGCCAAAGTTGAGAAACAATGATCTAAACAAAATAAAAGAAA